TTCTGAAGCAGTTACAGAATTCATCCGAAATCTTATTTTGTTATTTCCTTGACACTACCTCCCGGCGTGGAAATAACCGACGCCTGTATGTCTGTTCCTCGTGTGCTCTCCAGGAAAGGAAACAGTCTGCCCTCTGCTTTATCAATATCTAACACCTAAATAATGTAATCACAAAGGTACTGTAGTGGAGCTCCGGACGATATCTATTGAGTAGTAAGACTAAAGAATATGGATTATTTTTCAGTCGGTAAGTACCTCTCCAACTGGGCGTTATATTGTTTCATATATTGTAATTCTACAACTCTGTTTAACTCAAGCCATGTTTTAGAAATGTTCTGAACAGTGTTGTTCTTCATTTGATTATCTATTGACTAATATATACATATATTATCTTTATCCTTTCATCCACAAAATACACGGTCAATCCACTTTACAATACATTCTGTGAAGCGCTTTGAGGCGTCTCAATGACGCGATAAGGCGCTATATCAAATGCAAGATTTATTATATTATTTTCCTATTAGCTTCATCATTTGCCAATTTGATTATATTAATATTGCAACAGCAAAGTGTTTCCTACAGTTAATACAATAACAGTATTGTCCTGGATGTCGCAGTGGAGACTCATATTTCGATAAACCTACAACCGAATCCCACAATAATAAAACCATTCGCTATGTGTTACTCCATGTTCAGCCCTGGGATCAGGTTTGAAATCATTCTTAGTTTTCTCTACAGTGCAATCATTGTATAGCTCTTGCAACAGTGGTCTGTGTATCAGTGAAACGTTTCCTCAAACGTCCTTGTCATCCTGTATCTGTTGTGCGTGTGAAAAAATACAAACCAATCGTCAGAACTTGTTTCGGAGGCAATCTGTTCATTTTCCCCAGTGTGATGACTGCTTTGCATTTCTGACATTTGTCCGCAGTCTTATTACCAAACAGTTTTGACGACTTCCAGGACGGGTTTGAGAAAAATTGTGCTGGAAAATGTTCTGGGGATCCATTTCATCCAGACCCAGAACCAAAAACAACTACAAGGATTGTTCACACGTCAAAATCAGATTATTTCTTAGCTGGTAAAATATGGTTTTCTTCCATTTGAAAAGCAAAATGACTGGTTGGTTGTCGGATCGGTAGATACAGTAATTCAGTTATTTAGCATCAGCTTCCTTCATGGATCATTCATGTCGATATTTTTAAAAATCGTGTGCTAATATGGTGATAATGAGAGGAGTAAATAGAATATACTCGTGTCCATTATTTCAACAAACTCTAAGTCTAATATCCTTCTAATAAGAGTAAAATGTCTGTGTTTATCAATGGTTTTCCAGAGAAAACATAATGTTAAGAATTTTGTTTTGCTATTTAAAAACTAATAAATGTCATAGATTTCGATGTATATATATAGGTATATATGTGTGTGTATATATACAAAGGTTGACCAAAAAGTCCATCAACCTTGTTGTCATTACAATGGCTAATAAGTTTTAAAGAAATGATGATATATATTGTATATATTTAGATAATAGGGTAGATATCATGACGTTTTGGTCACCCTCTATATGTATACATTATATGTGTATATATAAACGCAATGTGTTTGTAGAGATGCCTTATTGTTTCTAACGTGAATCCTGATCGATAGGTATATAATACTTTATTATGAGGTTTGCATATAATAAGGTTAGTTATTACAGCTTCACAATGGGGAACTGGTTAAAAATGATTGATATCGTATCAAGGTTATCTTAATATCAGAAGAGTGTCTTAATTATATATATGCTTTCATGAATGGCGTGATATTGGATATAGCATGTATATGCTTATTAAGCCACAAAGAAATATATACAGTTAGTAAACATACACATCCAAAATAGAAATGTGCATAATATGTATCTGCACATACGGCATTGCATATTTACACCATGGTACACACATAAACTAGCTACGTGTGTATACAGAATAGAAGTATTTGAAAAACGTAAATCTAAAGATAACATTGATTCAAGCATACTATGCATTCGGTAATCGCTTATTAATTTCCATGACTAAATAGCGTGTCATGTATGGACGCATGAAAAGATTTGAAGATGCGTCCATGAGTGTGTGTACGTCATATCAAACATATACACGTGTAAGTTTGCACTGCGACAGTATAAAATAATCGAATTAACCCCAAAAAACAGCCGAATGTACCTGCCAGACACCCGGCTGTACCTGCCAGACTGTCATTGTGTACATTTTAATATTCAACTATTTTCTGTCCTCAACTACTCTGACCCATTCCTTGGCGAGTTTCAACAAATGGCCGCTGTTTTTTTGTCAATTCTGGTTCATTGGAAATCAGGACTATCAGTGAACGAGGATCAGGGCAACAAAAACAAGAACAGCATCACAAAATAAACGCAATAGTCAAAAGGAAACAACAGCAGACATCTTTCTTCTAGACAAAAGAAACAATATCAGCTGAAACCTTATCTCCAGAATGAGATGCCGCTTTCTGGCAGTGGAGAGTCAGCAATAATAATGACTGTGACACTCCAGTAACTCCAGTAATTCTGTTTTACTTTACAATCACTAAAAAGCTGTGGTCAAGCCGCTTAAATCATTTAAAAGAGCATAGCTAATGCGATTAACATTTTACCATAGCCCCGTTTACTCACTCGAAGCAGAAATAACATAATTTATTATTACGATGTCATGCTATCCATTCATTTTCAATCGATGGTATAAAAACGTCCATTCAAACATATTGCTTATTTATGATTCTGCATCCAGAAAACACTCAGATCTCTTGTGCAGTTACTTCTATTTACCTGACATGAATGACCAACGGCATGCGAGGGGTTTTCTTTATTAAATAAATTTCCAACAAAAAAAAGTGGTTTTCGGTGCCCGTCTTTCTTTGTTCATTCCGACAATATTGTACTGTGTTAGTAATATTGAAGGCACCATGGGGACGCTCATATGTGTCCTCTCGTCTCAATGTCTGCGGTCGTTTCCGTTTTGACCATTGCGTTTATTTTGTGATGCTGTTCTTGTTTTGTGTCCTAATCCTCGTTCACTGATAGTCCTGACTTCCAATTAACCCGAATTGACAGAAATCAGCGGTCATTTGGTGAAAATGACACTAACCCGACCAGTACAGTATTGGAAAAGGGTCCCTTTGACTCTTAAGATTAAGCATAGAGGCAGCAAATGTTTGCATCTCAGAAATAAATGAATGGTAACCCGGATTATCGTGTGGATGTGGATCAAATGTCCTTATTGCGTGTTAATGTGAAAGTAGTGCTATACGCAGGAGGTGGGGGAATGAATGCAAACGCACTGAAGCGGCTACAGAAGGTACAAACAGGACCCAAAGTGTAAAACAGAAACGTTACATCCGAGGCCCGCTGAACCACAGTGCTGTGTAGTAAGAGTTAAAAACAAGATTAGCGATAGAACTGTAAACCCAGGAACAAAACACACACACTCTTAAGTGCTGAATTTGTGGTTCTTGCGCTGCCACGTTAATAATACGGAATTTAAAAAGAAATAGTGATCACCTGTAGTCACCAGCGACACTTAAGCAATTATTGTCTGGTTGGCATACCAATTAGGAAGCAAACTGCATTTGTTCCTGTCAAGGGTGCTTAGATCGATCTTACCTCTTCTATCGGGTAGATGTCTATCCACATTGAACCCATCGGTTGACTTGTCTTCTGGATTTGGTTTGGTTTTATGCAAAAAAAAATACATTAACATATCGCAAGTGGAGATTTCATCTTAGGAAAGGAAGAGCAGCTTCTTGTCGCTTTGCCGACTGTGCAGAGAAAGATGCTCTGCGGTCCAGGCGAGGAGATTTGAAAGCCCGTGTAAATAATAGTTATAAAGTTCTTTTTATAGTAAAATGAGCACTGAAACTAAATGCTGCAGTTAGACAACCACTTTGATAAGAGGATAATTGATGCGACAGTAGTGTATAATTAGAGGATAATTTATGCTATATCCAGTATTTTATCCCGAATGCGGTCACAATAATCACAAGACAATTGTTGTGAAATTTATTGGAGCAATTTTAAAATAATCAAGATAAATTTTGTGCATTTTTGAGTAGGACAATTATTATCTCTCTACACACACCAACGCCTAAAATAAATACAACACAGTATTGCTGTTTTGATCAAACCAATACAATAAAGCCATTCATAATTTAAATCTAATTCCTGGAGGAATGTGCATGCAAATATTTTGCATAATTACTCCGTCTATGAATTCAAATATGCCAAACCACAATCACAATTCGCATATCTTTCAAGCACCCAGGCCTTTCTGAAACAAGATGGGTCACTGACAGTGCTGGGGTAGGTTTCCAGTCTGAAAGACACAAGCAAAAACCCTTTACTCCTTCAGTTTATTCCTCGCGCTCTTTTCGTGGTGGGTTAAATTACTTCGCGATTAAAATAAAGTATTTATTTGCAAATGACCGATCAGCTCGGGTGTCCCCACACGCTCTACAATCTGTGCGTGTATCCGCACTGTAGCATGTTAATAATATGAGTCAGCTTTTTTTATTCCAATGCCATGTGCTAGCGTTAAGAAGTAAGCTGTGGGGGTTTTTTCTCAAGAAAGAACAACAGCAAAAACACAGTCTCCTGCAACCCGGGCAAGTGTTTTAGCAATTCCTGCCTCGGATGTGTAATTGTGTTGGATCTTTGCAGAGAGAGTGGGGGGGTGGGGGTGGGGGGGGAGCAAGGTTTGGGGCTGTTGTTGGCGGGTGTGGAGGCTGTGCTGCGGGTTAACCCTGTGCTCGCCGGACCCGGGGGCTGCGGGAGGATGACGAGGAGGCGCGGAGATGACCAATCAGGAGCCGCTGCCCTTTGGAGACAAACCATTCGACTTGTGGCACATCGCACACCGTCTGCGCCGAGTCTCACAGCGGAGCCCCAACTTCAGCGGAACCCAACCTACAAACCAACCTCAACCCCAGCCCCCGCCGCCAATCCCCACACAGCCCCCTTCCTTCCTCATTTCCTTCCTTCCTTCCTTCCCTTCCTCCCTTCCCCAATAACCTGGAGCGAACGCGGCCCACGCTTTCTCCTCCGAAGACTTACCCCCTCTTCATAAAAAAAAGAGCACTTCGCCTTTAAGAGCTCCTCCAGTTGAAGTTTTATAATGACCATGACTACGATGGCTGACGGGTTGGAAGCTCCGGACTCTAAGTCTGCCTTCATGGAGTTTGGCCAGCAGTCCCAGCAGGGCTCTCCGGCCATGGCTCCCGGTCACTACCCGGTGCACTGCCTGCATTCAGGAGGACACTCACATCAGCACGACAGCTCGTACCCGGCAGCCAACACGTATAACAGATCCATGCCTTATCCCTACGTGAGTCACTCTCATCACAGCCCTTACCTGCAGTCCTACCACAGCAACAACACTGGCAACCAGACGCGCTTAGACGAGACAGGTGAGTGCACAGCTGCACTGGGAGCCATCCACACTCGGCCTTTCAGTCTTCCCTCTCGATTCAACCGCGTTACCCTCCGGTGGGGCGCACAGCACACACTGACTACCGCGTTCATGGTTTTGTGTCGCTGACTTTGTTCTTCGCCATGTTTCGATTTCGGTTTGTTTTCGACATCCTCTGCTCTGCAGATCTTTCCCTCAAACCTCCCGCTCGACTTCTGCACTCTTGCTGTATTTGGCCGGGTTCACATTGACAGTTCAGTCAGCTTTATTCGACTTATCCATATTGCCTCATTTATTTGTTGTTAACTGTGCCTGTGTGTGTGTGTGTGGGGGGGGGGGGGGGGTGGGTAAGAGTCCAAATTTTCAACAAAGAACAGTAAACCCAAAGTGGTACATCAAAACTGACATTGCTCGTTCCCTCACTTTTTTTTAAATCCGATCTGATCTCCTGTCGGTAACGTGCTCCAGGCTCTCGTCCTTTTTCGTCCATTAAATGGTATAAAGCATCAAAGTTTTTGTGATTATATGTAGTTGTTAAATTGCNTTTTTTCGGACTCGTTAGTTCTACTCTGCATGTTTCTGATTGTAGTTTGCCAGAGGGCTGAAATAATGGAACTCTGAATTTTTTGCCATGTTAGATTGTTTCAGAAGTTAGTTGTTCCTGTTTCTAAAACATCCGTCAAGATGTCTCCTTAACCCCCGAGAAACTTGCAGAGGAAGGGTATATGCGTTGAGGTGGGTTAAGGAATGAGCTGCGGATGTTTGGGGGTTCACGCAAGATATCTGCATCGTCTACAGTACATATCCTTGTTTTGCAGAGCCGCAGAAGACAACGGTGATTGAAAACGGGGAGATCCGTTTTAATGGGAAAGGAAAAAAGATCCGCAAACCTCGCACTATCTATTCAAGTCTACAGCTGCAGGCGCTAAACCACCGTTTCCAGCAGACACAGTATCTGGCTTTGCCCGAGAGGGCTGAGCTGGCCGCCTCGCTGGGACTCACACAGACACAGGTAGAGCACCCCACTCACACTGCGGACTTTAGCCTTTCTCGTGACCTATCTTAGATACGCAAAGTTACATTTGGCTGCAATACTATGAAAATCCAGTTGCATAGATGCTCTACTTTAACGAACCGACGTCGTAGAGGCTGCACGCGTTATTTTATTTTATTTTTTTACAGGCATCGCATTAAATGAAATGGCTAAGATGAAACGGACACATTAACTTGCTCAGTCCCTCTTCCCAAAGTCCAAGTGACGATTTCATAAAAACAAACGTATTTTTCAACAGGGTCTGTGTGCTATCTGTGTGTTATTATAGCAGATGCCAACTGTATCTTTAAAAGCATCATATGCCCGTAATTTCGTTACTGGGATCAACTTGGATTACATGGAAATATCTAATCACACACTTTAGATTTTCTACAACGTATTTTAACACGAATAATTTTGTGGTACTTTCTTTTTGTTGTCGTAATTAAACACACGCTCATTTCGATTCCCCCCTCGCATGTTGCTTGCAGTGAAACTAACAGCTTTGTTGCCATTTGTTTAGAAGTCATGATTTCTGCTGTACATATGGGAGATGCAGAAAATTTGTTCCGCAAGATTATAATAGTTTTAAAAAGAATCAATATAAATCCACAATGAACTTATAGTCTTTAGTGCAAACTGGTCAAGCACACAGCACATATGCAATGACCGAGTTACAACTTACACGTTTGCTTGTCTTTTGTTTATAGAGCTCGAGGTATTTATAATATGTTTAGTGAATCTCGAATATGGCCACACAACAGAAATAGAGGGTCATCTGTATTTTCTGGTCTCATAGATGTGATTGAACCTTTATAAAGATCACGTGAAGATCCACTCGGGGTTTGTCCCGTGGTTGAGCACTGGCCTTAAAATGAACGCAATTACATTCTGCTTATGTTGAAACAAAGGTTAAGAAAGGCGGCGACGGATGTCGAATAACTTTAATTACTCCTGCTGTTCAGACTATGTACGATTTAGTGCAATATTTTTAAAAGTTAGACAATAATGGCCAGTGGGTGTTCGTTTATCCCGACTGAAATATGTGCTGGCTTGTTTTAAGCCTCGGATAAACGCATACATCTGAGTGTATTGTGGCAGTAGGATTATTGAGGTCAAGATGTGTGTTCGGTTTTGATTCGCTTCTGAATTCATTTCAATTGTTTTTAGTGACTTTCTTGAATCCACAGCAGTCCTGAGCTCCAGAACAATGACAAATCTCAACATAGCAGATCAGAGGTTTTATTCCGGATTTAATAACTACTCTGGGCCAATCAAAACTCTCTCTGTGAAGTAGCTCTTCAACCTTACCAAATAAATGTGCATTATTTACCCTGGTTTCCACTCCACAAATACTTTAAGGAAAGGAATCAGTGAATTCTAATAGTTCTTCATTTCCTTAAGTATTTCTGGAGTACAAATACTTCGATATAAAATAAAAATATAAAAATACTTATTAAATCTAAACATCCAAAATGCTTATTAAATATAAACATCTAAAAATATTAGAAACTGAATTACTACAACACTCCACTTAGCTGTTCTACTAACAATAGTATAAAATACAAAAAAATGCGTTTAAGGTCAGCATACATTAACAATGAAAATCTAATGTAACTAGTCTAAAAACCACAGAACAAGTATTATTGGGCATTAGACATGTTGGCAGAAATAGCTAACGCAAGAACATTGCTCACTGATAAATTAGCTGATTTGTTTCAAATTTTCAAATATAAACATATCTAAAGTTTCCTAACTGATGTTTTATTGCAGGATATGTCTTCTATACTTGTTTTTGAATCGTCACCCAATGGCGGGGATATAAAATACAATATGCTTAAGTCGGTGCTTTGTGCTGCATTATTCACTTCGCTCTCTCTCTCTCTCTCTGTGAATAGTGTTTATCAGGATTTATTCAGTACTTGTCTTTGGCTGCGCTGCACATTTTTTCTGCTTGGTCAAACCTAAGGTTTCCAGTTCGAGACCAATAACGTTTTGCTTGTTTATTTTGGGAAGAAACTCACATAAGAAAACCAATATTGATGAGCTACTTTCCTTATTAAAATATTGAAAGAAATTCTGGTGAGAAATAAAATTTAAATATTAATTTGCGCAGCTCTGGTACTTAATAATAAAAACTAAAGAAACAAATTTCAAATATGGAGCCAGTAATTTTAAATATAGTAACCAACAGGCAATCTTGTGGAAAAGTTACAAGTTTCTGATAGCTTTGCGTTAGCTATGCTGCAGTAAACGTTTTAAAAGTATGATGATTCTGGTAACTTAATATAACTGTAATTGAAAATGAATCAGGCGCCTTTCAGATATTTCTAGATTAATACATCCAGTTTAATCCAAAACTGAAATTTCAAGTTTATTTAAACTTTGGACAACTTAAGCCGTCTCATTCTACTAGTCACCTTCATATTGTTATGTATATCTTACATCTCATTCATTCAGTTTGACATGTTTAAACAATTTTAATAAAGTTCAGTAATTTTGAGGAATGTGAGACATGTGAGTCTATTACTTTTCTGATTATCTGAATATCAAACTGGCAAATGTAAGTTAGTGAAAAGACATAGAAATGTCTCCACCCAAGGTTTCATACGTAATCATTACACATATTATTCCATTCTAGCTTTTCTAAACATTTATGATTGCAATCTAGAGAGGAAATAATTGTCTCAAATGATGTATTTTGCAACATTATTTACTTTTGAAGAATTCCCAGACACTTTTTGAAAGGGAGTGGAATTCCTTCTTTGCCAGCGAGAAAAAATACATATGTTTTTACATGCCGCGATAGACACAGTTAACTAAACGCCGTAGAGTGGTGCGTCAACACAATAATATTCCCATTACATTTATGTTTGGAAGGATCCCAAACTGGCTGTGATTGAACTGAAATTGGTTCATGCCTTTATCCCGAATGAATTAGTACAACACTCCACTTAGCTGTTCCACTAACATGTTTTTTTTTTACCTTTTCCCCCTAACTTCCCTGATTCGATGTTTGGTTCCAGATTACAGTCAGTGCCTTAATCCAACCATTTTCGACGTCAACATTGTTGACTTGGCCGACGCGAAATACTTGTTAGTAATAAAAATCGGCCATCAACATGAGAGTTAAGCCTGTGTTTTCTTTTTCGTCCTACTGTAGGTGAAGATCTGGTTCCAGAACAAACGCTCCAAGTTTAAGAAGTTACTAAAACAGGGAGGTAATCCCCACGAGAGTGACCCAGTGCCTGGATCCGCCGCTCTGTCCCCTCGTTCACCAGTCGTCCCACCCGTGTGGGATATCTCAGTTTCGACCAAAGGTGTTAACATGAACCCCAACAGCTACATGGCTGGGTATTCTCCCTGGTACTCCTCGACTCACCAGGACACCATGCAAAGGCAGATGATGTGACAATCCGAGGCCAGAAATTCTCAATGGACAGACCTCAATGGGGTGAGAGAGAACCCCATAGTTTCACAGTGCCCACATGCCCAGGGTGCCATGATGGATGGGAGATCCAGCAACTATTTTAGTTACTAAGATCCAATGTTAAAAGAGACTGACAGTCAGCGATAAAGGACGACCTGGCTGGTGACAATAGGACATTATAAAGGAGTCGCCACAGTCTCCATAGATCCATCCAATTTCAATGACCACAAAATGCCAATGCAAAGTGGAAGATTTTATGCTGATTTTTTAAAACAAAAACACAACATGGTTGGCGATGCTAAGACGCACTGGAGTCATATATAAAGACAAGCTGTATGTATATATTGTTTCATTTTTAGTTGTATATAGTTTATATGTTTTATGTCTCTTTCATACTGAGTAATAAATCACAAAAACGCCAAAATGTCTCGCAGTTTCCCCTGTTTAAACATGCATTCCTGACAATGACAATCACTAATAGGACATTTTGGCAGCGCTTAATAAAAGCTGTTTTTTGGGGGGGAGGGGCATGGTTTGTTTTCATATTGTATCCATGAATTCACAGAATCTCATTTAAATTGGGGGGGGGGGGGGGGGGGGGGTGGTGGGGGGGTCTGAAACTCCAGGTCGGGAATGTCACATATTCACAATTAATGGTCATTAAACAAATACGCCATCTGTATACCTAAAGTCTGCTGCTCTATCGCTTTGCTTTGCGCTGCTTATAAATGAAACTATTCAGCCTAATTAAAAAATGCCATTAAACCTTATGAAACATGTTGTTTTGCTCCCGCACATAAATCAATTGCTGAACAATTACTAAACCATTCCTTACTAACTCAGATTCATTTAAGATTTGCATCGCATATTATATCGCCTCTCGGTGGAAAACTGGTGACAATAATGTAAATGTATACACTAATAATGATTATTGAATTCTCGAATGAATATTAATTACAAATCCTCAAAGATAGGCCGCAGGAATCACTGGTGATTTAGTACTACAGACCCAGGTACATGCTTTATAATTGACAGCGCCTTTGACACTTGAACATTGATCAGCATTGATAAGAAACCATGTAAAGATTCCCAAATGACAGTCACTGCAGGATACACAAAACGATTATTACTTACCAACATACAGTTGCATACTTCTTACCAACCAAGGAAGTGAATTACACAGCTCTATTATCAGACAGTGTCCTGATCTCCTCTAATGGACCTACTACACCGCTCGCAATGTCGACGGATTTTTTTTCGCGAGCTGGGAACATCTAATGCAAAACCCAACACGATCAATACTTAACAAAAACCTCCAGCTGCAGCCGCGACCAATTTAAAGCTGATATTTGGGACAATTTACGGTATTATCTACGAGAAGAGCTTTAGACCATCATAGAAAGCGGTCATAATTAGGGTAATTTTTGATGTAGCCCGCTGATTACAGCGTTTTTATAGTCAAAGATAATTACATGTAATTTTCTTCCACTTTTAATACTGAAAAGCTATCTTTATTTAGATTCGGGAAGGAGGGTGAAACAAAAGAAAGCGAAAGAGAGAGAGAGAGAGAGGATAGACATTCGCGTTATCCATAAACCAATTAAAGAGGTTTCTTATATCGATTCCCTGTGAGTGTGCCAAACTTTAAAAGAACAAAAAAGAGATCAGCCAACACAAATTGCTGCCTTAAGTGTGTGTAGTTGTTACACATTTTGTTTAAATATGCAAAGCTCCTTTCTGCTTTCAATAAATGACTCATGCGTGAATTTTAAAAAGAAAAAAAGACTTTTGTGCAGATATTAAATTGAGAGATCATTTAAAAGCGTAAATGGAAAATGGTGCGAAAAAAAACCTATCAGGAGTAGATTAGTTCTCATCATTAAGGAATACATACAAATCTTAATGGGTAGAATTTTGTATACACTTTTTAAAAAATTGACTGACGCAGATTTCAGAGTTATTTAATGCTCTTTGTATTAATGTGCATCCAGACACCCCCCCTCCTCACCCGAAAACATTAGTCAAATTATCAACCAGTTTGAGGCTTATTGTATAAATACATGCAGTATTAATACAGCTCCATATGACATAGGGGAAATGCTTGCACCTGTATTTTAACACAGTGAACAGAAAATAATGAGAATGGTATAATACCGACCCATTTCCTTACAAAGCTGCTTATCTGCCAGTGCAGAGGACTCTTTAATAAATACGCTTCCCTCTATGTAATACTGTATATCTGTTTGATTCTACGCATTTTTTAAACACATAAGAATCTGTCTTGAGAAATGCTGTAGACACAAATGTCAATGCTTTGAAAATGCATAGATTAATGTGACAATATCTATCTATCTATCTATCTATCTATCTATCTATCTATCTATCTATCTATCTATCTATCTATCTATCTATCTATCTATCTATCTATCTATCTGTCTGTCTGTCTGTCTGTCTGTCTGTCTGTCGGTCTGTCGGTCTGTCGGTCTGTCGGCATTCAAATGAAAAACTTAAATAATGCATTTTCCAATAAACCGCACAGTGTAAAAGTATGGGGATATAGTTTATAAAAATGTTTCAGTTCGTTCAAGAAAATCATCTGATATCGTTTGCAGATTATGAATCAAATAGTGTCTGCATTGGCCTGAACGCGCTTTCGCCTTGAAACATAATCTTAACTTGCACTTGTCTGATAAATTGGCCGTCGATTTGCAAGGGTGAATGAATCCACGAGGCAATCTTCCGATAAAGTGGGAATTACACACACTGTGCAATCCTGCAGCTATAGTGTAGAATGTATTGCTGAGCACAGTCCTCGGCCTCCTCACAATCCTCGCCTGTGCAAACCAACTTGGAGATGCTATTTTGATGTCCTCGCGATAAGCATTAATGTTATTTGAATTTATGTTTTTATGAGACATTGGAAAGGAACCATATGGGAAATGTTCAATACTCTTTGTGGCAGCATATGTTTCACTTTCCCTCACCTCCTCAGCAAAGAACACACATTGTAACCTGTATCTATCAGTTTTGCGAATTCCAGGTTTCCATAGTGAATGTGGCCGCATTAGAATTCAAAGTTAGTCTGCAGCCAAACTAGTGATCTGCACAAAACTAATAGGTCTCGACTGCGCTTTCACTTCAACGGAGTCCGAATTACTCCTCTCGTCAATGTGCTGTCTTTCTTTTCGTGAAAAATAAGTGTCTTGCCCCCTCGTGTTTGGCCAGAGTGCTTTAAATTCACCACGGGCATGTACAGCAGGCGGCGAAAATAATAGTAGAGCTTTGATTCGGGTTGGGCGGGGGACTGGACGCGTATTTGGTTGATCCTGGCTGGCGGGCTCTGCCTGCACGGCGCACTGGCTGGGTGGGTGGGTGGGTGGGTGTTTGGGTGGGTGGCTGGGTTGGTGGGTGTTTGGGTGGGTGGCTGGGTTGGTGGGTGTTTGGGTGTGTGGGTGTTTGGGTGGGTGTGTGGGTGTTTGGGTGGGTGGCTGGGTGTTTGGGTGGGTGTGTGGGTGTTTGGGTGGGTGGCTGGGTGGGTGGGTGTGTGGGTGTTTGGGTGGGTGTGTGGGTGTTTGGGTGTGTGGGTGTTTGGGTGGGTGGGTGGGTGTTTGGGTGGGTGGCTGGGTGTTTGGGTGGGTGGCTGGGTGGGTGGGTGGGTGTTTGGGTGGGTGTGTGGGTGTTTGGGTGGGTGGCTGGGTGGGTGGGTGGGTGAAGTGAGGTGAGGTGAGCTCGCCGCTGGGTGACATTGGACAGTGTTGGGAAAGTGTAACGGACCCCGCACATCCCCCGAGTATTTCATACCCCCCCCCCCCCACCACCACCACCAAACCCCCTCCGCCATCCCCCGCTTTGGGGTCGTTTATCCATCTGGAATACTTTCACCACCTCTCAGCTCTGTCCCTGCAATGTCTGTCGGTCCCGGGGCTGATTTTTCGGTCTGTACCGGTCATTGATATACAATTGTCCTAAAATGACAAAGTCGGCTAAATCGGATGACAGACGGATAAACCGCGTGGCGTCTGTGTAAGACAGGGGGAGAATAATGCTGGACGTACATTGTTTAGGATTTAGATATTCACCAATTTCGCGCACACAAATGCATTTTGTTGGATACATTTTGGAAGGGCGCAAAAAGCGGAAGTTGTGTGTGTAACGACCACCAGACTGTCTGCCGAAGCCAGAACAAGGCTCAATCTGTCGTTTCATTTCACCTAGTGGAAAGCAGTTAGTTCAAGTCCAGCATGTTATCTGCCCTTTATCGCCTTAACATAAAGATTTTTTTTAAGGCAAAAGATTATTTAATATAACTGGCTAAATTGGCCTCTTGTTACAACCCAGACAGTTAAAATTACAAACATCTACAGTCAACCTCACAGCGCGTGAAATATTCACTGTAGTTTGTAAAAGCTTGAGATAAAACACGGAACCTGTCATCTCAGTTACATTCCGAATATAAACCACACAATGCGAAATATATCCACCAAACACGATAACCGTATTCTCACGATTATTATCCTGGTTGACTTTTTTTTACTACAATTGTGTTTACAGCATTGACTGTTGGAATAACAGTACAAGGAATCAATCAATCAATCAACCAATCACTCATCAATCAATCAATCAATCAACCAATCAATAAAAAAATAAATAATGAATGGCACATGACCTTATTTTTAATACTTATTTGCGCATTTTCCTAAGTATAGTGATTGTTAAATTCCTCATCTGTCACGCTCCTTGCATTATAAATTGCCTACCGCATAAAACATGCATCTCACATGTACCTGTATCTCTCTACAAGGTATATAGATATGAGATCGTGGAGATAGCCTTGAAACTGTCGCCTCCGAAATGCTATTACGAGATGCTCCCTATTTTCTAGGGTTGTCTGCAGCCAGATATGTGCAATGACTGTGCCTCGGGCATAACAGACCAAATTGGATCGTGTTTGTGGTTTCCAGAAACTGAGCTCACTTTTATCAGAAATATTCCCCCACCCCCCCCCCCCCCCCACCCGTTGAACCGACGGATCTCACTCCTTATTCCTCTAAGCAGAAAGTAGCTGCACCTACGAACTATCGACGTCAAGAAAGAAGCTCACAAAATCGAAGGCTTCTCTGTGCTCTGCAGAAATGGTTGCAGAAAATATGCTGTAGTTCTTACGCGTTCATAACCAACACCTTAAAAAAGATGCATAAACACCCGATAGTGACTAAATATCTAGTCTATATAATAGCATACGGAGAAGTCCAAAGAAAAATGCAAATTTTTTTTAAAAATAAAGTGTGCATAAAAACATACCTGAAACGGCCGCTCGAAGTACCTCATATACCGTTCCAATAGAGATCACTGCCAACACGGTGTATAAGTGATTGGGAAATCTTTTTTTGCTGTGTATCAGGGCAGAAGCTTTAGCTCCTCCGGTTGAGTGAGCATATCCAGGTGTGAAATTATTTGTACACCCCGCCATCTCTTATATTGCCAGCAAAATTAGCTGTTATTA